CCCTAGTTACTTTATGCTTTTCATTTATGTGACTGGAACCCAACTATAATTGAAAAAAAAAATCAACTGTATGCAGAACACTTCAAAATCACTGCATTTTGTTGGTGCTAAAAAGTATAATTATTTCTCACATTCATTTGATTTTTGGAAAATGCCTCAAATGTAGTGGTGAAGGTTCACACAAACATGATATGAACTTAATAAAAATGTGGCACAAACTTAATGTAGACGTAAGTTTTTCAAGTTTTGCACTGTTGTTTATTTGATTTTGAAACGGTTGCTATGTGAACTGCCTTTAAACTCTCCCTCCCCCGCCTTAGCCTCCTGAGTGCTGAGATTTCACAGACAGGGACCACCACACCCAGCTTGTTTCAAGTTCTTGAACTTTCTTTCTACCTTATACAGTCATTTATACATTTAATGAATTCTACAGAGCTATAGATATAGCTACAGAGTTATATCTTAGTTCTTTAGGTTGGAAAAGACCTCTGTTTGAAATTAATTCTTTAATTTTCTTTTTTTGGTCTTTTTTGAGACAGGGTTTCCCAGTAGCCCCAACTATCCTGGATTCACTATGCAGACCAGGCTGGCCTCGAACTCACAGAGATCCGCCTGCCTCTGCCTCCCCAGTGCTGGGATTAAAGGCATGCACCACCACTCCTGGCAAATTCTTTAATTTTGTAAGTAGAGAACCAGCAGAGGGCAGAGCTGGTCTAGGAACCCAGACTTTTGACTGGCATGACCGTTCTACAAGTTAGTGTTTCTCAAACTCTTATTTGTTGCTTTCTGAGGTTCCTAAGGCATATTTTTTAGGCTCTGGAAATAACAGAGCTGTAAGAAATTTTCAGTCTTTTTTTGGCTTATTTTCAAGGATGGTCACCTCTGTGTCTACCTTATAATTAAATACAATCTCATTATTTCAGAGTTTAGAGTTGGCTTTATATATTAAGTTTAAGCCAAGTGAAGGCCAAATAATATTACGACATGCAGTTTAAATGAAAGCTTTATGGTAGTTTGGAGAAAGAAATATAGTGAGACAGTCAGGTCACAGCCCCCTTGGAAGTAAAGTCAAGCTAAACTGAAAAAAACAGTGACCTGAATTCCATTCTACAGTTCCAGCTGTGATTTACACTAACAAAATAAGATCTTTTCTTATGATAATTAATTTTCTTATGATATTTAATTTTCTTACGATAATTAGAATGGCTAGGATGCTACTTGTGTTTTAATCTAATCTTGAACTTGCTTTACTTTTATAAAGAATTCAAGCTTAGATTTCATATTGTACAGATTAACACTTTGCTATAATTAACATAAATAAATGCTGAGGTTCTTGGGAATTTTTTGGCATGTTTTAAATTTTTTATTATTTTTGCTTTGTGAAGAGCTTTGTCAGTCCAGCATCTCTCACTGAAGAAGCAATGAGAGATCTGCTTGAATCAATTAAACTCTTTAAGACTGCTTTGATAATTTGAAAAATGAAAGATTTAAACTAGACCAGCACAAATGTAAAAAAAAAAATGACCATTTATACACTTTATGTCCATTTGAAAATTTTAAATTAGCACACGAAGCTTGGGATTTCATTGATGTAAGATAATTGAAATTTTTAAAAGTAAGTCAATTTTATAGAAAAAACAAACAAGTGGTATTATACAGATAGGGCAAAAATGGTAAAGATGGTTGTAAATGAAATTGAAGATGACTGAACATGAGATTTAAAAATATACATAATAGGTCTAAAATTTTGTTGTAATAATCTGAAAGGTACAGGACAACTTTCTTGCTTTCTTGGGGTATGTTTGAAAGCTTTGGAGAGAGTTAGGGCTTTCTGATATATTGATCTATTTGTTTTTTTTTTTTTTTTTTTTTTTTTTTTTTTTTTGTCTTTTTGAGACAGGGTCACCCAATAGCCCCAGCTGGCCTGGAACTCACTATGTAGACCAGGCTGGCCTTGATCTCACAGAGATCTGCCTGCCTGTGCTTCCTGAGTGCTAGGGTTAAAGGCATGCACCACACCCAACATATACTGATCTATTTGCTGTTCTCTTATTCTCATTATAAATTTTACCTGAATAAACCTTGGTACTAGAGATCAGCTTGGTCCACCTATATTTGGAACTGTAGCCTCTCAGTTCTTTTATCTTCACATCTCATGAAAAGTTTCATGCTATGCAAGGTATACTCACCACTAAGAAAGCACAAACTATCCTCTGTTGGCAGTGAATTTTTCATTCTGCAATTCCTTACCACATTGTTGCTTCACTTCAAAAGGCTATTGACTTGGATGGGACCAGCGTTTGATCCTGAAGGCATGAAATCAAAGCTCTGTCCCTCACAGTCACATCCTGGCACTTGCTTCTTAACCACTATACAATTTCCCTTTGCACACCATTTTATAGTTTCAAATTTGTGGTATGAACACAAAGACAGACTTTTTCATAAAGACACCAGAATGTCTGCTTCCAAATGATTGTTACACTTTAAAATAGCAATGTCTTAAACATTTTGTTTATCCTTTTTGGAGCCAACTGAGATGAGGCAGTCTCTATTTCCACATCCTCATAATCACTTAATGTGCTTATTCTGAAACTACCTCTTTCCCCTCTACCGAATAACTAATATAGTTACATTTGTGGAGTGTTCACTGTGTACCATACATAAATACCCAAACTTCATTTTATCCTCAGTAAACTCTATAATGTGCTGCAACCCAGCTGTCATTAATTTGTGAGGCCAAAATGATAATTTTGCAGTTCCATAGGATTCTAGTAGTGAGCTCAGTGACACATCTCACATACCTCTGTTCATTTTGTCCTTTTTCTCCCTGCCTCTAGCATATGCCCTCTTGTATCTCCAAAGGGAGGCTATACCAACACCAGCCTAGAGCCAAAGACCACCAAAGAAAAGGACCATGTGACTGGAGAGGGCTGTGAGGGCAGACAGAAACAGACTACATCAGGAAACAACTCAGCTTTGTACACTGTGTTGGTAGAGTTAACAAACTGAGTAAGCACCTTGATCCTGTTCTAACAGACTTCAAACAGATCAGTGGAAGCTGAGATCTTTTTTTGGGGAGGGACAGGAGAACAAAATTTAATGTCCATTCATAATCCAACTTACCTGTCCAAAGATAGGTGCTATACAGGGAGCTGTACAATAGAACAAACACCAAAATTTGTCCAACAAAATTTTTTTCTTTAACAAAATTCCATATCATCATTCCAGCACAAACAATAGACTAAAGAAAAAATTATTAAAAGATTTTGTAAGTAGTTAAAAAAAACACACAATTCAATACCACAACAGAAAATAACAGGCTAATCAGACTCATTTACCTTTTAGTCACAGAAAATAATTATTCATTTAAAATTACTGATAATAAGCAAATATTACATATTAGTTTTACTAAAGTTTCAAGCTTTATAATTAAAAACCCCTTTTACACAGAGCCCATAACAATATACATATTAAATGAAAACAAACACTGACTATATTCTAAGTTCTAACCTCATATTTAGTTATGATTTACATAGAAAATGTTAAATTTCTTCTATTATGATCACATGCAAAGATTTATCTAGAAAAGCACAATTACATGAGTTCTTTTTTGTTGTTGTTTTATTTTTTGGGACAAGGTTTTTTATTCTGTAGCCCAGGTTTCGAACTCATGGTAATTTTCCTGCTTCCACCTCCTATATGCTGTGAATTACAAGTGTGAGTTAACATACTCAGCTAAGAGCTCAATTTTTAATGATTCATTTATTTATATTTTTAAAAAATGCAAAGTTGGGGCTAGAAAGATAGCTTGGTGGTTAAGAGCACTGGCTGTTCTTGCAGAGGACTCAAATTCAATTCCCAGCACTCACATGGCTAACAACCATCTGTAACTCCAGTTCCAGGGGATCTGACATCCTCTTCTGACCTCCACTGGCACTGACACAGGTATACCTACCTACATGCAGGCAATACACTTGTACACATAAGATAAATAAATAAATAAATAAATAAATAAATAAATAAATAAAACAAATAAAAAATACATAAATACATAAATGCAAGGTTGAAGCTGGGCATGGTGGCACATGCCTTCAATCCCAGTACTCAGGAGGCAGAGGTAGGTGAATCTCTGTAAGATCAAGGCCAGCCTGGTCTACAAAGTGAGTTCCAGGCCAGCTGGGGCTACAGGGAGACCTTGTTTAAAAAAAAAAAAAAAGAAGAAGCAAGGTTATCATTAAATACCATTATTAGTCTCAAAGTTTAAGACATAATACAGCATTTAATATATCAGGCATAAACTAACTCCAATTAGTTTATAATAATAAACTTATTATTAGTTTATACTAACAAACTGATTATTTCTAGTGATAATCCTGAATTCATAACGGAAAAAAACTAGTAATTTTCTCCTATACAGTACCATAATCCCAGGGGAAAGCATAGTTCTAAGTATCTACAGGTGTACTAACCTGAGCAATGAGTAAATTAGTTGTAAGCATATGAGGAAGCTGCTTGTATTTCTTACTCAAGAGAAGAATAGCAAGAGACCAGATCTGGAAGATAAAAGGTTCAAGTTACTCATGTTTCTTAATCTTTACACTTACTTATTAAATAGCACACTGATTCACATTTTTTATTGTGGTGCTGGATTGAAACCAGGGCCTCATATATGCTGGACAACAAACATTTCCCACTGAGCTACATCCTAGACATTGGCTCACTGTGTAGCCAGGCTTGCCTTGAACTCCAGATCATCCTAATTCAGCCTCCAAGTGCTAGGATTACAGGCATGTGCCACTATACCTGGCCTGCATGATTAATATTTTCAGAGAACCTTTCTTTATCCTGGTTCCAAAAGAAATTCCAAGGTTTTATTGGAATTAAAGGGTATTAAGGCAAATTACTGTATACAAAGTAAAATTAAAAAAAAAACAAAAAAAAACATGGAGAGATCCCACAGTCAGCTGTCCCAAAATTAGTTCTTTAAGAACTATTGTCTTGATCAGGGCCATGTTCTAGGAATGCCTATCTTCAGGGGCTGGAGTGGGACACAGGGTCACTGCCAATTATTTAGGAAAGACATTTTAAATATTCTAAATTTTTTTATTCTTGATTTCTAGTACACTGGATCCTGAGAAGTCTAAATTCTAGGCTGTCTTATTTTAAGCAACACATACCACCCCCCCATATACACACTAAGATTAATCTTGTCTTCCTTATATTTGAAAGGTTTGAGTTTCTTTCTTACTCTTTTTTTTGGGGGGGGATTGAACCCAGGACTTCATGCATGCTAAGCACATGTTTTACCACTATCCCCAGGATTGAGTTTCTATTCTACCTGCATAGTGGCTAGGAAAATATGTTAGTTAATTTTCTCTCCCTTCCCAAACCATCTTCTTATCAACAGATGCATTTGTTTTTGTTTTTTGTTTTTTTTTCAGACAGGGTCTCATTATATAGCCCTGGCTAGCCTAGAACTCGCTTTGTAGACCATGCTGGGCTCAAATGCTCAGAGATCTGCCTGTCTCTGCCTCCCGAGTGCTGGGATTAAAGATATGCACCAACACACCCAGCAACAAACAGATTTTTAAGAACAAGTGATGGGTATGGGATTATTCTAAGAACAAACTTTTTTCAATCTAGAATCCTGACTGAAATAGACAATTTGACGTATATAGATACTCGTTATTAAAGATTTATTTACTTAATTTGAGCTAGCAGGATCTAATTTGAAAAGTTATCTAAAGTTTCATTTAAATAAATGACTAAACTTGATCCCAAAGATCTCTTCTGATCCTAGATTCTACAATAGCTAGTATTTGTATGATTGTTATTTTTAGAATGCTTATCTGATTATCTCAAGCCTTAAAACAATCCATAGAAATAATTATCTTTATAGCTAAGAAAACTGAAGCTTAAGAGAGATTAGGGTAATTTAATCACAGAGAGACACATAGCTAACTTGCAGTGAAACAAGGAGTCAAATCCAGGTCTGAGTAAGTCACATGCTTTATCCACCATACAACTCACAATTCCCAACTGGAAAGACAAACTCAATTAATTAGGAAGTTGATACTGCATTTTTTTTTCAGGCTGGTTTAGTTTCTCTGGTTTGTAAGAAAGTGTTTGCTTTTTAAAATTCATTTTTTATTACCAGTTATTCTCAAATTCACTTTGTGGTTTCTATCCAATTTTATACTGAAATATACTTACCAAGGAGACTAAGCTGATGATACTTATATCAAAACTAACATTCTGGATGGCATATGCCAATGGCTTAGCATCCATGGTGGGAAAGGTCAATAACCAGGCAGAAACATACATGATCGGAGCAGACACAAATGTGCTTATTACCATCCCTGAAGTTATCTGCAAAAACGAGACCAAATTAAGGAGTCACAGTCTTATTTAATTACTTTAAATTTTTTAAATATTTTATTCATTATTTTTTTTATTTTTTATGTGTACGAGTGTATTGCCTGCATGTATGTGAGTGCATCTGTGTCATGCAGTGCCACAGGGGTCAGAAGAGGGCTTCGGATTCCCCTGGAACTGGAGTTAAGGACGGTTCATTACCGCCTTGTGGGTGCTGGGAATCGAACCCGGGTCCTCTGCAAGAGCAGTCAGTGCTCTTAACCGCTGAGCCATCTCTCCAGCCCCTACTTTAAATTTTAAATACCCACAACACACTCATGCATTCTAAAATAAAAATGAGACTCAATAAAGACACTATAGAATCCAGCATATTATCTAACATCATATTTCTAATTTCTAAGAGTCCTTAAAAGAAACCTCAGGTATGTTCTCTCAGCCCCTCTTTCTAATCTAGGTTCAAATGATATTTACACATAACAAACACTACACATTCTATTGTTGATGATTATGGTCTGGGTTCTAGAAAGAACAACCTTTCAAAGATCTAATTAAATTTATAAACAGTTTTCTACCATGCTACCTCACAAACTACGGGGGTCGGGGAGAAATGTATAGAGAAAAATTACCAAAGTGGTACAGATTAGATAATGGAACTGACCTTCATTAAATAATTTATTTCTTTGTGTTACAGTTTAGATTTCTTTAATGCTATAGACACCATGTATAATACATGGAGACACTGTTAATGTACATTTGCTAAAATTTATTATGTGGCATTTTCTTCTGATGATTGAATTATAATGAATGAAATTGATTTTTTTCTTAAAATTTCAAGTTTACCCTTTTGTAAATAATTTTAAGGCGTAAGTATAAACACAGACACAAAGTACTTGAAACAAACAAAAGACTAATAAAAAAGCACAAATTTAAAAACAACTTAAAAAAACCCACAGATGAATAAAGTTCCCAGATTAAATACCTGTTACATGTTACAGAATACCTCTTTATTTACAGTGTTTGAAACAGCTTAGAAATCTCAAATTCTCAGTAAAAGAATGCTTTCTGTATTTTAAAGGTTCATTTTTCTCTTGACTGCAGAAACAAAGAGAAAACAGCATATACATACAATCTCTACTTCCATGTTGAACTGTGCTGCAAAGATAGCCACTCCTGGTGCTACAGGAAAGACACCATACAAAAATGCATAATTCGATATACTTGTATGGTTCACTACACTGTCATTCTTGTCCAGGAGTTCCACCATTTCTCTGCACAGAAGTGGCAGCACCAGGCTGTGAAAAAAGAAATGCAAATTCACTTATAGCAAGCATGTTTGTCCTCAAGTAGTAGACTGCACCGGTCAATCTAGCGTCATGTCACTATTCTTCTGCCCAGAAAGTACATGCATTTACATGCATATATTCTATGTATTTATGCTTCTGGACATTTTATTGAAAGAGTCAAGGATTCAGTTAGGAGCCATTTAAAGTGCAACAATATCCTGGAATCTCAAATATTAGAGTTATGAAAGGGGAAACATTTCTAAAATTTTCTTACAAAAATTTGGGAAACATTGCAATTATAGCTCCTTTCTTGTTTCCTCTATTATTCACTGAAATGCTAAAGTGGAAAAAAGGATGAAATTTTAGTAACTTCTAAGAACATTTCTAAACTCTTTGGAGAAAAAGTTGGACTTTGTGATTGTTTAAGCAGTTCAGTTAATGATAACAATGCTGCTCAATAAAATTCTAAAAAGCAATAGGAAAATAGCTATCGTAATAATCAGTTCTTGATCTTTGTAAATAAAAAGAAATATTTACCAAAGGGAACTGGAACTATTGCAGTAGAATGGAAATTAATGAACCACACATCTGGCGAAGAGTCTTTTATTAAAGTCTTCATAATTCCATAGAAGGAGCATAACACAATCACTTAAGCTAATGGGCTTGTCTTTTGGTGATGCTGTCAGAGCAGGGTCTAGAGCTATTACAAACCACCCTTTGTATGAGCGTGTGCACGTGGGGGCCAGAAGTTGACATTGGGTGTTTTCCTCAATTGCTTTCTATCTTACTTTTTGGATCAGGGTCATTAACTGAACCTGGAGACTGGGTAGCCTGCCTCCACCTCCCCAACACTGAAATTACAGGCACATTCTGCTGTGCATGGATGCTGGTGAACCAAACTCAGGTTCTCAAGTTTGTGTAGTAAGTGCTTTACAGACTGATCCATTTCCCCAGTCCAAACTGCTCTTATATGTATTTTTTTAATTTAAAAAAGAATTAGATAATAAAAATAAAAGATCCTAAAAATTTAATGAGAATATTTTTAAAAATATTTTATTTATTATTTTTGAGTGTGTTCCCTGCATATATGTAAGTGCACCCATGTCATGCAATGCCCACAGAGGTCAGAAGAGGGCACTAGATCCCCTGGAACTGGAGTTACAAATAGCTGTTAGCTGCCATGTGGGTACTGGGAACCAAACCAAGGTCCTCTGCAAGAGCAGCCAGTGCTCTTAACTACTGAGCCATCTGTTCAGTCCCTAATGAGAATATTTGTAAATTGAAGTTGATAATATAATCATTATTAGAACTACATCTCAGGGGCAAGGCTGATTAATACTCTCTGAAGAACACAGATGACTGAAAATAATTTTCAGAACTTATATTCATTTTTATTTTAGAAATATACATTATCCCAGTCCCATGAATTTAACTCTGTGTAAGAGCTGAATTCCTTCCTTAAGCATGCTTCAAGCACTTTGGGTTAAAACTGCAGTAAAATTATGTCAACTTCTTGCCTGACAAGCCAAGAAAGCTGAAGAACTATTAACTAAAAAGAGCTAAAAGGAACTATTTGACAAGCTGGGATTGAATGTCTAAAAATGTTCATATCAACTTACCTATATTTAGAACTTTCAACCAAACTCACAATCACTGAATAGTTTCCAAAATTCATAAAAAATAGTTTATATTAAAAATGATTACTCAAACATTAAGGTGCTTTTGACTTTAGGGTTTAAAAAAATTTTTTTTGGTCTTTTTGAGACAGGGTCTTCTGTAGCTGCAGCTGGCCTGGATTCACTATGGAGACCAGGCTGGCCTAAAACTCACAGAGATCCGCCTGCCTCTGCCTCCCAAGTGCTGGGATTAAAGGTGTGCACCACCACGCTCGGCTCAAGGGTTTTAAAAAATCTTTTATTATTTTTATTTTATGTGTATGTGTGTATTGTCTGCATGTAGGTAAGTGCACCCATGTTGTGCAATGCCAGCGGAGGCTGTCAGATCCCCTGGAGCTAGAGTTATGGACTGTTGTGAGCTGCCATGTGGGTGCTGGGATTTGAACCCGGGTCTTCTGCAAGAACAATCAGTGTTCTTAACCGCTGAGCCATCTCTCTGGCCCCGACTTTAGGGTTTTTAATGGATTTAGAACTGCAAAATTTCTTTTAAAATAAGATCTAGGGCTGTGGTATAGCTCAGTGGTAGAACACTTACTTAGCATGCACAAGGCCCTGGGTTTGCTCCCCAGCACCATAAAAATAAGTAAGTATGATTTAACTGAGACCTTGAGGATATTAACTAAGTTTTACATAAAAGCTGAATGGGGGAAAAAGCCCTGAAAAGCAACTAATAATTTTTATTTTCTGCCAGTAAAGTGGAAAAAAAAAAAACCCCACATGTAATAGTAAAGGAATTTACTTTCACAATACACAAATATCCCATTTTTCTTTAAATCACAACTACTGTATAAATAAAGATTGTCATTAAAGGAAAAATTAAGTGTACCACACCCCAATGAATTGGCTAAATAGGATTTTTTAAATCTTTACAAAGTATAATTCCCAAATAAGCAAAACTTACAGTTTAGCTGTGATGAGAAGAATTAGTACAACAAATCCTGACTTCTTCAGTCTCTTTATTTTTCCCACCATTGTAAGACCAAGATAAAACAGGGCCGATCCAGAAAAGGAATTTGCGAGTCCATCAAGAAAATTTTCCATATATACAGGGATCCTCTTATCGAGAATAAAATTAAAAGCAATGCCAATGAAGACCATGAATACGATTGGGTTCTGTAACACACGTAGAAATCCAAGTCCCACAATTTTTGCTTTATTTTGAGAAGCATTTTGAGTGTCTTTCGACTTCTGGATTTCACAGAAGATAAACCCTATAGGGTTTAACATCATAAGAGATATTGGTGCTACCAAATAAATGTACTGGAGATATTCTGGGTATGTGGTTTGATACAAAGCTTCAACTGCAAAAGAAGAATATTGGTTTTAAAATATATCGCAGAACTGTACAAATACGTATATAACATTTTCTGTGCTTAATATCATATTGCAAATTAGTCTAAATAGTATTGAGTAACCTCATTAGCCTGTTTTTAGAAAGACAAATTTTAGTGGTAAAACTGACAAGGAAGAAAAACTTAAGTATTATCTAGTTTATAAAATGACAATCAACTTTAAAGATTATTTTCAGTAAAACCTATTTTTACTAGACAGTGGCTTAAAATTAATCACTACAGAATGGTAGAATTTTAAAAAATTATAAAGAAGAATTCAAAGAAATCTAGTAGCAAGCTACTATTAAATAGTAACAGCAACAAGCTATTTGCTTGTACTCATGGAGAGAGCAGCTTCACTGGCAGAAGTCGGAACACAGCTGCTTGAGAAAGACAAGGGAGTAAATCAAGTGCTGAGGTGGTAGAGTCCACATTCTACAGGCAAAGATGTAGAAATGTAAGATAGCTGATGGGAAGTAGACAGGGATTGGAGGCCAGTATAAATCAGGTACAGTTGGAAGTTTAGGAGTTTGCGTAAGTCAGGTAGTAAGCTATCAAATTCAGTATTTTCCAGATGTGGTCTAGGAGGTAGCCATGTGAGCTGGTGGCTGACAGGGAGTGAAGCCATCCCTGTAGATGAGGCCAAAGAACCGAGAGGACAGAGAGTTTAGTAGGCAATTCAGCAGGATGCTGAAGTCAAATGAGAATGGCAAACCTTGAGATAAAGAAGATGAGAGAAAGCCAGACACTGCAGTCTGCAGTGAATGAAAGGAAATGAATGAACGAAGAAGCCAGACCACAGGAACCTCAAAAGTTGTTAGCAAGAGAGCAGAATAATGGCCTCACAACAGAATGAAACAGCTAAGAGGATGCGGTGCCAGTCTTACCTGCCTGTGCTCATGTGGCACATGGGCTATGGGAAAACAAATAGTCTCCATCTGGGAGGGATGAGAGGCAATGACTGCTTTCAGGGAAGACCAGTGAAGGTAGTAAAGGAATAGGGACCGAAGGCTGATCTATGAAATGTTTAGGAGGAGAACAGTGTGGAATCACAATATGGTGTATGCAATTAATACAAATGTAAATATGCATTCTTGAGAAAACAAAAGCATCACTTTGTTTCTCACAAGTTCCCAAAGAACCTGTTATGAACAACAATGCTGGAGGAAAAAGTCTGTGTGAGATTTACGAGAAATGACACAATATACAGTATGTGTGCTATATTTGGGGGTGATTTAAGGCATTTCAAGGGTTTGAGAAGATATGACTTTAGAACTTAACCATACAGAAGATACTTCCTTGGAGAGAGGTAAGTGGGTTGGACCAAACTTCTAGCAGCTCCAGAGAGTAAAACTTGAGGGCCTGGCCTAGGGTTGTTGGGGTGAGGCAACTTACAGCTGTGGAATAAACAACTTGGTCTTTAGACACATTTTTTTGACACAGATCTTGAAACTATCCAAGTTCATTCATAATTGATTCGAAGTTCAGAAATAAAGATAAAATGAACAGCCACAGGAAAGACGTAATCATGTGAAAAAAATGTAGATTGAGTTTCTCAATTTACATTAAGATAAAGTGACAAAGGTAGGAAAATATATTTGTTTACCTACCCAGGATAGTAAGTTCAGTTAATGTCAGGCACATGATCCCTTAAAGTTATATAACTAGATTATATAACCTTAGAAATTCACCTTGATCTCATTAGCTAAACTTACTTTTTATAAGATTCAAACCCTTTTCCTCCCAGCTAAGCACATGTACAGGCCTATATCTCCAAAACAGAGCAGAGGTTAAAACATTTGATTACATAAAATTTCATTAATTCTTTTCTCTGATTTATAAATTAGATGAGCTAGCTTTATAACTCAGTGGGTTTTTTTTTTCTTTCGAATTTTGTAGGGCTTCACTTATTTAAGTGAAAAACAACACTTCTGATAACTTTCTAGATAGCTAGACTTCTTGCTAAATGTTCCTACCACTCAAGTTTTTCAGTAGAGGATATATCTTGAAAATGTCTCATATTTTCAGTCTGGTTGTAAGAATTTTTCCCAAGTAGCCACATGCAATGTTTTTACCTCTGACAACTTACACCTCTAGTTCTGTGTTCTACTCAAAGCTCCATGTAAAGATTTCCCTTCTCCAGAAATGTGCTTTCCTGGTACACCAGCAATTACCACCACATAATGGATTCTGCTTTGTTTTAAAGAGCTCAATACAAATTTGAGCAACATGTTTTCTGTGCTATGGCTGTCCAATCATCATATAGTGCAACCCCCACCCCACCCCACCATCTTTGCTTTTGCTTTTTGCAGGTTCAGTTACCCAAGGTCAATAAGAGGGTGAGTGTAATACAAGGAGATAGGATGAGCGGAAAGGAAAGACACCACACCCACAGGGCTTTTTACAATGTATTGCTTTCTATTTTATTAATTATTAAGTTCTCATTATACCTAACATATAAATCAAACTTTACCTTATGTACAGGACAAAATAATACACACACACATACATACACAATCACTCAGGAGGCTGAGGCATGAGGACTGCTAGAAGCTTGAAACCTAATATATATAAGATTTGGTACACAGGGGTCTTAAATGTGTTCCTGCCAGCTAAGGGAAACTAATGTACTTTCTTCTTTTATAGGATCTTTTGTATTTCTCCTCTTGATTCCTACTGCTATTAATTAAACATCCTAAAATTAGATTATTTTAATGTGCCTTTCTTTTCTTTTTAAAAATTTTTATTTTAAAAATCAGTGTATTGTCTTCACGTATGTAAGTGCACCAGTGTCATGCAGCGCCCACAAAAGTTAGAAGAAGGCATTGGATTCCTCTGGAACTGGAGTTACAGACAGTTGTTAGCCACCATATGTGTGCTGGGAACTGAATCCTGGTCCTCTACAAGAGCAGCTAGTGTTCTTAATCACTGAGCCATCTCTCCAGCCCTCTTCTTTTTTTTTTTTTTTTTTATTTTTGAGACAGGGTCTCCCTGTATCCCCAGCTGGCCTGGAACTTACTATGTAGACTAGGCTGGCCTCCATCTCACAGAAACTGGCCTGCCTCTGCTTCCCAGAGTGCTGGGGCTAAAGGAGTACACCATCATGCCCTGCTGTGCCTTTCTCTTGATGAAAAACAACCCAGTCCCCACAACTGTCCTCTTATTTATCCAAGCCATCTCTTACTAGTCCATAAAGCAAAGACTCCATCTGCCAGTATCACAGGTACGCCAGGCAAACACCACATTCAAAATTACTAGCTAACCTTGCTGTTCATTCCTTCACTCTGTAACTTTTTGAAATCTTTTTTCCTTACCGCAAACTTGCCTAATATTTAATGCCAGTCTCTTGGACTTCTACCAAGTCTTCAGTCTCCATCATTAAACCTCACTTCAGGAATGCTGTGGCACTTTGTTTTATATCAATGCCACCTCAACAGATTCTAAGTTCTCTGAAGGCATCATTTTATAATCCACAGACCTCATCACAGTGCTGAGCAAATCTGAAAACATTTGATGACCAGAATTAACTAATATGTCAATGAATGCTAAAGTTTTCAAATTTAGTTAGAATGTATTGTACTAATCTCTAATTGTGATTTGTTAATCTCTATTTGGAGCCATTTTTATTTTTAAAATTATCAATTTATTTAACCTTTTTATTTATGCATATTTGTGTACATGTTCATGTGTGTGTGCACATGTGTGTGGTGACCAGAGATCATACTGGATGTCTTTCTCAATCACTTTTCACCTTATCTTTTGAGATAAGGTCACTCACTGAGCCTGGAGCTCACTGATCCAGTTAAACTGGCTAGCATCAAACCCCAGGATCCTCCTATTTCTACCTCCTCAGTGCTGGGGTTATAGGCACACACCAGGTTCATGCTTGTGCAGCAAGCACTTTACCAGTTGAGCCATCACACTAGCTCCTTGTTTGATTTTAAAGATGGTCTCACACTGTAGCCCAGACTGGCCTAAAAATCCCAATAGTCCTCTTACCTCAGCCTCCTGATGGAGGATGAGTGATAGAATTATCAATTTATTTTCAATTGGTCAATACAAGTCACACATATTCCAAACATATTGTTTTGAAACTTATGCATTGTGGAATGGCTAAATTAAGATATTCTACATACAAATTTTATCATATAATTTTTGTGATGAGAAGACTTACTTTATTATTAACTATATTCACCATGTTGTACAATAGCTCCTTTGAACTTATTCTTCCTCTCTAATTGAAATTTTGTATTTTTTTCCACTTTGTACACATTTTGAATATTTATAAAACAGGTTACAATTGAGGTCCTTTAACTCAGCTGAAGAAGTACATAAGGGTAAAAGAAGTAAAGTCTTATGGGAGAGCAAATAATTGTGATTAAACAAATACTTGTTAAATTACTAGAAAAGGGTTCAACATGGGAATTTTAGTCTATTTCTCCCATTCATTTACATAATTACTTAACATTACATCTTTATAGATGGGAAATGCTTTCCTTTTGTTATCTGAAAATGATTTTTCAAGTCTGAAAGAAAATACATATAAATACAGTGACCTATAGCAACTAAAATTAGATTTATAATCACTACATCAACTATTAAGTTCTAATCAATTAATGATTATAAATAAGGCTCTTAGAGGGAGGGGGAATCCTATTAGGAGGAATTATTATATAGCTTAGAAGAACTAAGAGATAAATTAGCCACCCACTGTGGCTCCTATTTTGATTCCTACAGGGCTTCAATCTCCAGCAAATAACACAAAGACCCTGCCAAGATCATTCTATTATTTAATGGCATATAGTTAAATGCTTCATTTCCTTTCTGTTTACAGCTCAAGCACTAGAGCATAATTATGATTAGTCAGGGTACTTATGCTATCAGCGTTGTTTGAAGAATAAATTATAGGACTTAACTATGCCCTATTAGTATCTTTTAATGACAGAGGCAGGGAACCAATCTGAGTTACTGAAATTGATGGTTCACCTTGGTAGATTCTTGATTTCTTCTCACATCTGGGTTTTAAAAAGTACCTTGGGGGGGGGGGCTAGAGAGATGGCTCAGGAGTTAAGAGCACTGGTTGCTCTTGCAGAGAACCCAAGTTCGATTCCTAGCACCCACATGGCAGGTAATAACTGTCCATAACTCTGGTTCCAGGGAATCTGACACCCTCTTCTGTCCTCCTCAGGCATTGCACACATGAGTACACTTATATACATGCAGTCAATAACACTCATACACTTAAAAAATAAAATAATAATAAAAAAGTACCTTGGAAAAGAGTTGCTCTAAAAGACAGTAAACTCTTTCTTTTCTCAACATATTCATCAGGGAAATGTGGCTAGTATACTCTTAGGAGACTCATTAGGAGACTAATGTCTGTAGTACATTAGTCTGTCACTTGACTTTAATGTAATTTTATAGGCCATTATTGTCATACTATATAGAAAAAGGACACATAACTTTTTCTTTAGTCATTAACTTATTTGCCTTCTCTCCTTGAATATTTCCCAAGTCACCTGTAAACTGGATAGATGTGGAACAAATGCAACCTTGAAAAGGACATTTCTTTTAATTCACAACCAACACTCTTCTGTGAACAATAGAGTGGGAATTCCTAGGAGCAGTTATGAAACAAAAAGAAAGAACTGTCTTTCTGGGGACAGTCTTATGTTTACCTGGTACAAGACCAGAAGACAGATGGACACAGACAGCAATAGTAAACACCTCACTAGGGAGCAGACACATGGATGTTCAGTTCTGTACCACACCTTCCAATTTACAATAGATGAGAAAGCTGTCTATATTACTGCTTTTGTTGTTGTTGTTGTTTTAGTAAAGTTATAGTCTATAACCTGATGTTACAAGAGTTATCATTTGTGAGTAAAAACAGCAAAAATTATAACCCCAAACTGACCAACATATTCATCAGGGAAATGTGGCTAGTATACTCCTAAGAACCTGATTATTACCAGGTTCACTGATTTAATGTAGAACATAAGCGATGAATATGGCTGGCTCTGCATGCTTTTTACATTTGGGGACTGCCTTATTAGGAAAATTAACATTTCTGATAGCTTTTTTCTACTACTGCTCTTTTTTTGTGTATGGGAGATATCTATGCATCTGTGTGTGCATTTGGAGGCAGAAGAGGATGTCATGAGTCTTTCCTGTTATCTCTCTCCACCTTATTTCTTTTTGAGACAGGGTCTCCCACTGCACCTACAGCTTGTTTCAACTAGGTTGCTGGCTAGCAAACTCCAGGGATCTATCTGCCTCCATCTCCAGCATTGGTTAACAGGCAGGAATGGCCATGCTTGGCTTTTATGTAGATACTGGGGTTTGAACTCAGGTCCTCTTGCTTTCACAGCAAATGCTCTTTCTATTGAGCCAACATCCTATCCTGCTCATATTTTAAGGACAAAACATTTGATTCTGTTTTAAACTAGTATATTACAAAGGCTGTTTGGGTCTTTTAAAAGTGGACTTGACATGTTATGTAACTGTATGACATGAGCGAGTACCCAGGATTTAGAACCAGAAAACCTAGATTTGGGTTATAGTCAAGTGTGAGCTGTGTGACCTGGGTTAAAACAATCTCTGTAACTCTGTCTCCTTATTTGAAAGTGATCATATCTTCCCTATTTGAATGAAATAAGTATGTAAGAAAGTCCTCTGTAAACTATAAAGTTACAAATGCTAGTTCTCTTTAGTTATGGTCTATGAATGCATGAAACTATGTAAGTCTAGTACAAGCTGAAAGTAAGACAGAACAATATTTATTTACTTAGGACTATGGTACTGACCCCCATTTCCGGGGTCCTTGTACTACGAATACCTTGGTCAAACTACATTCTTCATTCTCTTAATAGAAAAGCATTAATTTCTGCTCTCTAATTTCATTTTAAAGTTTAGTAACCTTAAAGGAATACTTATCCAATTTCTTACTATTTATAGCTCAGTTACCCAAGAGCTTTCCTGCCTCTCAAGTCTCCTGCTTTATTCATAGTTATTTGATTTCTTTGGTATTTTTCTATGTCAAAGGTAGAAAAAGGCAAAAAGTACAGTTCACTACTGTTTTTTTGGTGCCAATGATGAAACAAGTTGGGGGGTGGGGAGGAGAAAAGTACCGAAATCTGCAAGTAAATGGTAGGCTTCATTTGTGCATTTTAATAGTCCTTTCAAATCTCTGCTCAGAGGGCACATTGTCAGAGAAGCTTTCACTGATCACTGCCTTAAGTGATCTACCTCCGCACATCTGTCCCTCTGCCCTACTTACTCACCTATGTATTTTTATTTTATTTTTTGAGACAGGGTCTCCCTGTAGCCCCAGTTGACCTAGAACTTGCTATATAGACAAAGCTGGCCTCAGTCTCACAGATCTGCCTGTCTCTGTCTCCTGAATGCTGGGATTAAAGGCGTGCACCACCATGCTTGGCTCTTTTTATATCATTTAAATCAGAATGGGATCCCTTCTGGAAATTAAGTTTCTTTTAATGAGATAATTAAGAAATATAATACTATTAGAAAGATAATCTCAAAGTTAATAGGATATGGACATTTATTTTAGGTAGATGTTTAAGGGATGCTTAAACTCTGAGGTTAAAAAAAATATATAATTCTAATTTAAATTGTTAAGAGAAAAAGTAACAATTTCTTAAATACAAGAATAAGAATCTGTGCTCGCTTCAGCAGAACATATACTAAAATTGGAACAATATAGAGAAGATTAGCATGGCCCCTGTGAAAGGATGTCATGCAAATTCGTGAATTATTTCATTTTTAAAAAAAAGAATAAGAATCTGTCAAGAACAAATGTTTAAATTAAAACTTCATGGTACTACCTAAAACACTTAAATTATTATTTTTTTTATTGAAAAATAGGGGCTGAAGAGATGACTCAGTAGTTAAGAACACTATCTGCTCTTATAGAGGACCCAGGTTCAGTTCCTAGCACCTACATGGTGGCTAATAACTGTTTATAACTCGAGTTCCAGGACATCCGACATCCTCTTCTGGCCTCCATGGATATTCTATGTACACGTACATTTATATACAATCAGGCAAAATACTCATGCCCATCAAAATAAATAATAAATGAATAAAATTTGAAAAATACGAATAACTTACCTATAGGGTATCCCAATGCAAAGTCATTACTTTGTGTGGCAAAAATAGGGAATAGTCCAGCTTTGCTAAATCTACTATCGGGACTGGCAACCAATAAGGTTAATACACATACAATAAAAAATACAGATGCTTTGCCAATTAAGATACTATATAGGAAAGCCCAATCCACATTGGAAAAATTAAGTACAACCATGTTTTTGAATAATAAAGCTGGAAGTGCAAATCTGGAGACAAAATTTCCCAGTCCTTTGGCCTGTGTTGATGTTATAACATTGGCCCTTCCCGCTATATAGCCACAAAGGACTATGCCAAAGCATTCTAGTAAGGCTGGGAAAAGCCTTGTTATTGACATTGAAGGTGAGTCATTAGTGGAATTAAATCCATGTGTTACTGTGGTAGACAAAGTCTCGTTCATATTAACTGCAATGGTTGAGTTCTCTGCAGGTAAATAAGAATCCATTTTCTTTCACCCTTCACCTGCAACCAGATCTCTGGAAAGAAAGGAAAATTCAGAATTACAATCAATCAGTTCTAGTTGAAAAGTAACACTGTACTTATTTACATATTAAATGGCCATATAAATGCACATACTTTAACTATATCACCAAGAAAAATAGAAGAAGAGTGTGTGTATGGGGGTGCTAACTAGCCTCTTCACTCTCAAAGGTAGGTCTGCTCAAAATATTTATGTTGCTATTCTATTTTTAGTGTCAGAGAAGAATAAAATAAGAGCCACAAATGTTACAGCTGTAGTGCTAGCCTGAGGAGTCTCTTCAGGGAGCCACAATCCAACTCCATCTAGTGGACAAGAGAAGGCCCACAGTGTCCGCTGAGTACCCTCTTTCTCTGGAACTCCCAGAATTTCTCAGGACTGGCATGAGGAGTCACACTGGAACCAGAGGGTCCCTTCCAGCCTGTGATCATGCTTGAGTATGAAAAAGAATTACTGTAGGTATCACTTATGAACTTTGAACCAAGAGCTTAACTTTTTCATGCTTCACTTTTTTCAACTGTGAAAAGGTAATATTAATACCTATCTCATAGAAATTTGCAATTTTTCAAGTCTTCACAATCGAATCACATCTGGCACATAGTAATCATTTAACCAAAAGCTGAATATATCTTTTGGCAGAGCATGAGGGAGCCTATGAAAGAAAAAAAATGATGTCATTCCACTGACCTCCTCTTAGTTCAATACACACTGGCCCTGCTGTCCCTTTGTGCCACAGGGGACTTAGCTCATGCAGTTCACTCTAAAATGCTCTCTGCCATTTGCCACTGCCCACACAGCACCCACTCATCCTCCAAACTCAACCATAAGGTTCAGGAATCATTTTCTCAGGTGAAGCTTCTTTAACTGCATAGTTGGGCATGATTCTTTCTCAAACAGAATCAGGGTCCTCACCTTTAGTCCACTTTTCTCAGTTTCCTTATCCTTTGCCTTAGAATGACTATTTGATTAACCCCTATCTCCTTTACCAGACTTTAAATGTCACAGAAGCAAGGACCACATAGGAGGCACTGGGAAAAAATATAATGAATCACTATAATAACCTGCTCTCAAATAAACCTCTTATCTTTTCATTGCCAATGTTCTCTTTAGGCATTATCTAGTTCATGAGTGGATAATTTTTCTTTCTAAATCATAAAGTAATCTGTTTTTCACTGTAGCATTAGGTCCCAAGACACAAAATGTGTCCTAAAATGTTCTAAAGATAGTGATAAAATTTTTAAAGAACACAAATATGTGGTAAAATGTTCCAAAGATGTTCAAAAAATGCTAAAGTAAGGAACAAATTCTTTATGCTAATATGGCAACTATCAGACTCCTCTCCTCTAGCTGCCAGGGACATAATGAACATGAAGTTTGGACAATTCTGAGACAAATCAGCCTTTATTAGTAACTTAAAATTAATATAACAGCATTAGTGAATTTCAAGTGGTTATTCTGGCTTTACCATCTAAAGTGACATTATGTAAGGTGGAAGGTAAGAAAATTCATACTTCCTGAAATTTCAGTGCTTGGGCAGGGCAGGCCATAGATCACCAACTGATACACCAGGTTGTGTAAGAGAATTTTCTCCATGCTACCCTAGTATAAACCAAACCTTTTTAAAAACTTTCATTTAATCTGGATTAAGGCAAGTATTTTTTTCTACCAGGATTAGATAGGAGTGGTCAATATAAACAAAACCTACAATATTCACATACTTGTAGTTTACCAAATAAGCACCAAATTAGACCCTAGAAAAGCAACTGGTTGGTAAATATAGCCATACTTGAAGGAACTACTCAACAATTAAACGTGAGTGTTAAACATTTGGAGCCCTTAAGAACTGTGTACTTGGAGAGGTAAAGCAGGTGATAGACTAGTCCAGTCTTTTGGTGTTTCTCGAAAGTTCCTTATATTTCTTTGCTCTGGTAACTTTTAGTGCTCACAACCCCCTATTTGGACAACACAAGAATGACAGTGTAGTCGGATTAATTTTTTTAAACAGTGTAATTAGCAATAGTTAAGTGTAATGAGTAAGAGACACTGAGACTTAATTAACATTTCTCAACTCTTTGGGTCAATTACTTTGCCTCCCTCAGTTTCCTTAACAGTAAAATGAGTGGGTAAAACTCGTTAGAGAGATACTATATGAGAAGGATATTTTTATGCACAACTTATCACAAAGACCTTCAAGAAATGGTAGCAATTTCTTCTAGAAGCTTATTCCTAGTGATAAGTGTGGTGCCACGTGCCTGAAATCCCAGCACCGGGAAGGCAGAGACAGGAGAATCATGAGTTCAAGGCCAGCCTGGGCTGCATATGGAGACCCTGTCTCAAAAAAACAAAAACAACCCCCCCCCCCGAAACCCCAAAACTAAAAAACTTAACAAAGAACAAACCAAAGAGGGCTAGCGAAAATGAGGAGCAGATAGACTGTAGATCTAATGATAATGATTAGAATGGTAACAACAAAATCACATTAATTATCTACAGTAGTTCTATAAATATACTTGACATTAAATTAGTAAAGGGACTAGGCATTTCATAGTTACCAGTTGGGATGTGTCATAAAGTTAGCTGTTTCTGTTTTATACGAACAAATTAGGAAGAGTTGAATTTAGTTTGATCCTAATGGAGGGCTGTTGACAATGAACAGAGAGCTCTTCATCAATGTGATGGTCACTAGGTATGGCAATGCCTGGGTTTAACTCAATTCATTGAAAATTAAGAGAAACTTTTCAAAGTAATCTGCTCCTCCCCCTTTTAATTTTTCCAGTATTGTAAAAACAACACCTGCTGAGGTAAGTCAAATTCAAAATGTCTTCTAGCCTGGCATGGTGTCACACACTGTAATCCCAGCATTGGGGAGGCAGAGACAGGAGGATCATGAGTTTAAGTCCAGCCTCAGTTTTATAATGAGTTTAAAGCCAGCCTGAAATACATGAGATGCTGGCTCAAAGGAAAAAAAGATCCCCTGAAACTAAAGTTTTATGTCATACTATTTTAAACATAAAAAATATGCTTCCCAAAGCATATTTTAAAGATGAACAGGAACCATAACAAAGGAAGTTTTAAAAAATTAGATCCAGTCATTTAATCTACAAAAATAAGGCTTGCTACAGAACAAACAGGTTGACTGTCACAGTAAAAGCCAGTTCACTGGGGCAGAGACTAGAGGAATGAAGTTTACAAACTCTCTAGCCACTTCATATTTGACTTAGATAACATCACCAAACTACTGAAATTGTAGGTAATTGCTTAATAGCAGTGTTAACTTGAAAGAAAGCTTTACGTTCCTAGGTTGTCCATTTCTCAAACACCCAGTATCCTTTACGCGTGGGAAAAGCCTAATACAGTGTACCACTACTAAAGCACACTTCAACATCAACAGGCACCCCATTCATCCACTCTCACCTACTTGCAGGAGATCAGTGTCCTCCCTAGAGATTCATGGTGGGCAGCGCTGGGCACTGCCTTTTCCCCTTGTCTGCAGGGGCAGACTTTGGCCCGCCAAGATAAGGAGTGCAGAGTCCCTAATCAAATAGATAGATGACCACGAGAGCAGTTGCGTCCAACGTCCAGGAAAGCAGCAGAGGAAGAGAAAGCCAGGGCATGCGAGTGAACGTCATGGTAACATGTAAAGGAAAAAACTGGGACCAACGCTGCAGTTACCTGTGCAGAAGCGCTCAGGAAGGACACATATCGGGGCTACCTTGAGATAGACTGAAAAGTCCAAGGATGACAGGGTGAGCGCACATGCAACCAGGCGCTCCCCACACTGGGGACCGCAGTACTGGCACCGGCTGGGACAAGTCACCCCTTCTGCGCAGCCCCTCCGGAATAGTCCGGCACGTCTCAGACGCAGGCGCTTCGGGGCAGAGATGACAGACGCAGCGGGCCGCGGCGTGGGGACACCGGGTGCTGCCCACCCTCCTAGACAGACACAGGGGCAGGAGCCGGGGCAGGACCCGGCACATCCCGCCTTAGGGGCTTATCTCACCTGCTACGTCTGCAGCCCTGGCTGAGAAAAGGAAGCTGGTGCTCGCAGGGGGCCAAGCAACGAGAAACCGCCGTCATCTCCCGCCCCCAGCCCCCTCCGCCTAGCACAGCGTGTGCCAGCTACAGCAGCCCAGCCACTTTCCGAGAAAGGGAGGGGTAAGCCGCTGCGGCCCTGTCAGCTCCCGGGGAAGCCGGCCACGCGATTTCTGGGCCTCGCCTCCACCGGCCCCCAGGCCCCACCCAGGGCCTGGGGCTCGGAGATGCCTGTCTCCACCCCGCCGTCAGGCTCCGCCCCCAAGCTCCAGCTACGCAGCCCCGCCCCGCACCTAAGGCCCCGCCCCTGGCCTAGGGTAGAAGATGCCTGTCTCCAGCACCGGGTCGGGCCCCGCTCCCAGGCTCCGGCTACTCAGCAGCGCCCCGCCCGGCCCCAGGCCTCCAAGCCCTCCCACTCAGCTCTGCCTCTCACAGCCAGCCTAGAGCAGTGGGGTGCAGAACCTCCAGCTGCAGTATTTCCGACCTCCCTCCTCTCACAAGATGGCGGTCACAGTGCGAGATTGCAAGTGTTGGTTTCCGCTTGTGCTTAGACTACGAGAGGCCTGTCATCCTTTTGATTAATGTCAGCCTCCAGTAGTCGGGTTAATTCCTCTCTTGGTTAACCTCTTTTCATAGCATAGAGAATAAAGCGAGGATTTACAGATGGGTCAAAAGCCTGCTTTTCACCTTTCCTAAAGTAGCATGACTCTGACCTTACTAAATCAGAGATTAAAATGTAAACTGTAGCCGTGCGCTTGATTTAAAGTTTTTGGTGACTGTAAGTTGTAGAGGCAACTATGGGCATAGTCTCTTAGTTTATTGAGAGGAATCTTGTATTCGTAGAAAACTACCAGAGCTGCTTGTAGTCAGTGCAAAACTGAAGAGGCTCTGTCATTAACCTTCCAGAATCAAATTTATTACAAATTAAAAAATATTTAAAAAACGTAATTTCAATGACTCCATAAGCATTTCTTTAAGGAAAAGCTTTTTTTACAAATTAACTGTTTTGTCTTGCAACTACAGTGCCCAAGCATCTCTGCAGTTGCAGTGCAAAAATTCAAAACTATAGTCTTACCAAGAAAAGTCATAGTAAGCCAAGGGTGGGCTTAAGAATAAAATTTAGCAGGAAACACACATAATCTAATACCTCAGTTATCTCAAAGCTAAGTGGATTTCTGCTTAGAAAATAAGAATTAGCTAAGTTAAATACTTGAACTTTGACTACTAGAAGACAGGCATAAAAAGGTAAGTTAGGGTCAGCCTGTAGGAGGTTCCTTATCTTGGTTTTTTAACCTTATCCTTTGATCACACGGTAAAATCACACACACACACACACACACACACACACACACACACACACCCCTCCCTCTAGTATATTTTGGGCTGTGTGATCTGGAAGCTTTCCCAGGATAAGTCAAGAGATGAAAGGCAAGAAATACAATATGGCAACTTTGGGAAGCCCCAAGACATACTCTGGGATGATGGCAGTGAAAAGAATGGAGTAGGTTTGAGGGGTATTGCAAAAGAACCCATGGAACTTGGTTGCTGAGAGGTTAGTGAATTTTAAGTACCTTCTCATCCATTGAAATAAAGGAATTGGGATAGTTTCTATCTTTTCCAGCTCTGAAATTCTGTTATATGGAGATTAAAGGAAGAACTATTTCCGTGAAGGAAGCAGATGCAAGGAAAAGAATGAATTTGGTTATAGACCTAAAGTCTAAAACCTTGAGAAATTGTCCATAATAGTTTCCTCTCTTGAAGAAGTTATTCTCTCCATTCAAGGCCCCATGAGTTTAAAACATGCAGGCCTCAAAAATGAAAGAATGAGTATTCACTAGTGTTCAAGTTCAAGAATTGTTCACTTTTTGTTTCTTTGTTTCACCTAATTTCATTACCCTCTGTCCTAGAATACCATTTTTATTTATTTATATGATTGTCTCTATTTTGTAGCAAAGGTTGCACCAACATTTTACTAAAGAATTTAGTAGATATCTTCAAGTTTTCATCTGCTTTATAATTGATAAAGCTTGCAGATCACTTTTCTAATATTTCTGCTTTAATGTTCCACCTCAGCCCCTTTTAAGTAATTTTTTTACCTAATGTCTAAGTACAAAACATATATAAAAGTGTTGCTTGTAAACATGAACGTAAATAGTTCTGTTAATAACCCATTGTTTTATGATCAGTACATCCATGTCTGCTTATAGTTAGCTCTCTTCTCTGCTCATTTGCTCAATCCGAATTAAAATTAGACTGAAAATGAAACTTAGAAAAAAAGTCTGAAATGAGTATATTTTAGTTTCATGGAAATGGTGAACAACACTTAATAACAATTCTTTTATTCAACTATTACAGGTAGGCATGTAAAACCTACCATAACACAAAACAATTTAAGAGCATTGACAGAGTACAGTATATAAACCTAGAGAAGCCAAAGGCTGGTAGAGTTTACTCTGACATGTGATAGGCATTCTATAATTGACTTTTGAATGGTTGAAAATTGTAATTGCCTACCTTGCCTACTAGCTAACCAGGAGGTTGAAGCATTCTAGTCAGTGCAAGTTCTGCTATAAAGCTGCTATATAGCTATTTTATTTCAGTAATTGATTTATTTTTCCCAACTTTTATCTTGTCTTAGATTTGTAGCTTTATTTTTAACATTCATCTAAATTGTTGGCTTTTTTATTATAAATGCTGTAACTTAATTTTAGATCATGATAAGGTCCTGAAAATTATAAAGGTGTATGCTTTCACAAACACCTAATAGCTTTTCTCCTTTTCTCAAGTTGGTACTGAAATACACAAAAGCAGCAAGAGAAAGTGGAGCCTAACTCTCACCTGGTATCGATCTTGTTATTGACCTTGGGTAAGGCACAAATGTGGATAAATAAGCAGGGCCATTGTCTGGACCAGCATTTAAGAAGTTAAGCTCAGGCTGGAGACATGGCTCAGCAGTTAAGAGCACTGACTGCTCTTGCAGAGGCCTGGGATTCAATTCCTAGCACTCACATGGCTGCTAACAAGGGTTCGTAATTCCAGTTCCAGGGAATCCAAGGCCCTCTTCTAGCATGTGATACACTTATATATATATACAGGCAAAACACTCATACACATGAAATAAAGATAAAATATTTTTTAAAAAGAAGTTAAGAAGAAAAAAAATGAAAACAGAATTTGGTTGTGAAACTACAAGTTAAATCAGTGACTTGGTTAAGACAGGATGCAGAAACCATAAAATAGAAGTACACTGACTTTGGAGCACAGCCAATCTGTTTCAAGACTTAGCTTCTCCATACTTGTGGTTTTCTTTTCACCACTTTATTTTGAAAGAACATGAAAAATAAAGAACAAAAAATGCACTTGTCTCTTCTAGCATAAAAGTAGACTCACTGACAGATTTAACAGGCAGTTTTAAAAGAAACAATCTGCAAAACATTTTTTAATTTGGATGGTGTCTTAAGATTAAATACTAAAATTAACCAATTTTTGTATACTAAAAGAGGAAATGGAGCAAACTCAGATTTTAACCTTGACTTTGGAGTAAAATGGTTTTTTGTCTTGTTTTATCAGCTTCTATATAGAACATGCATAGACTTGTTCAGTAAGTAGGAGAGAGAGAGAGAGAGAGAGAGAGAGAGAGAGAGAGAGAGAGATCTCATTTAGCCTCCTCCTTTCCTAGAAGGGGCAGGTCCTTCCTCTATCTGAGGTTGATTTCTGTAGAATTCTCAATGTAACAGTAGTTGGATATAGAAGGTACTTAATAACTACTTGCTGACCTCCTGACTCTTGGAGCACAACTTAAACAAGTTTGTGAATTTTCTTTATTTAGAGTCACTTAAAAACGGAAACACCTGCTTGTTTTCCTTCTGTCTCTTTCACTGTAAAGGAAAGTAACTAAGGGGGGGGGTTATCTGAACTTTGACAGAAGAGCAACTGGATGGTTTTTGTAACTGACAACGGCTGGAACAATAGATGAGAAACCATCATTTCTCATTTTTGTAACATAAAACAGATATGATAAACAGTGTTTGTTGTGGAACTCTATTCTCTGGGCATGACATGGCTGTTACCATCTTGAAATCAGAGAAGCTGTGATTATCCTTGAGAGACCCTCACATCAGACCTATTGCCATTCCCTTTGTAGAAGGAGGTGCTGAGTAGAAAGTGTATTTGGTGTTTCAGTGGAATAATCAAAAGATGTCTGTTAGGTCCATTTGATGTATGGTATCATTTAATTCAGATGTCTCTCTGTTTATTCTTTGTCCAGTTGACCTGTCTAATGGAGACAGTGGGGTATTAAAGTCCCCTACTTTTACTGAGTTGAGTGTTAGCCAGTGGTGCAGGTCCCGGGAAGCAGAGGGAGGTGAGGGTGGGGCCAGGTCCAGAAGCACTGCTCTTGGAGCCCAAGGAAGGCACTAAGTTGGTCTGGGTGAAAAGGATCAGGAAACAGTATTATTTCCCCTGGTGTCTGGGGACCCAAAACTAGGAATGGCGCAGGGCCCAAACTAGGAGTAGAGAACAGCGGGGGAGATGGAAGGGTGGATGAGGCTGGGGGAGTCAAGGCACAGAGGGCTCTGAGATAGACTTACCCCAAGAGATGCCTGAGGGTAGGAGAGCGGATTATGTTTTTGTGTGGCCATTTAATTAGCCTGTGTCTTTTGACTGGGGAGTTCAGTCCATTGATATTTAAGATTATTATTGAAAGGTGTGTATTGGTTGCCATCATTTTGATTGCTGTTTGTGTTCTCGGTGTAATTTTGTGTTTCCTAGATTATATCTTTATTTTCTTTCATTGCCCCCCCTTAGTGTATAGTTGTTTCTCTGCTCCCTGTATTGCTTCAAGTATTCTTTGGAGCACTGGTTTTGTGGCTATGTATTCTTTAGGGCTATTCATGTCATCGAAGATTTTTCTTTCCCCCTCAACTATAATAGACATTTTTGCTGGGTATCATATTCT